CTGACGTGGCAACTATGATTAGTGCATGCTAAAGTAAGTATATGAGCATTTTGAGTAACCTCTACTTTAGTTCTAAGTAACTAAATATGATTACAAGATCATAGATTAAGCATTTTTGACACAACAAACATTTTTGCCAAGGCAATAAGTAAATTAAATTGCAAAAATCACCTCAGCAAGAACACTATCAACCAAGGTGAAAAAGCTCTAAGTACACAACAATGGGAGAAATAAACACCAGAGCCAAACCGCCATTCTGTATCAAAATAAATTTTAAACACACACAAAATCATTTGATGCAAAAGAAAAAGCAAAGAAAAAAGTGTATATCATTCTACATAAGGTCAAAATGCGTAGTCTAGACTTACTGCAAATTACTTAACATTTTAACTCTAACTAGAATCTTGAACAAACAATGTAAAAAGAAAAAATAAAAATAAATGAGAAAAATATCTCAACTATAGAAGATGTACATTCCAGATAGTCATCAATAAAAAACTCTCGTCATATTTGTAGCCATGTTCAGCTCAAATCTCTTACTCATTGGTGACAAGTTTCAAGACATGTGCGTCAAGATAAACAATAGGAGCAAAAAATCAAACATGTGCCATAAAAATGAAGATCAATGTCAGTGATAAGTGTTAATGAAGACCAAAGCAAAATAATTTCTTTGCCATCAGGTCCAATGGAAGTTAGAAGGCAATGCATAACAAAAGATGCTCATTAAATGTACGCAATGAAATACAATGAGCAAAAAATTGAAACAATAACTAGCAAAATGATCAATGCTAAGTATATAAAGATAGCCTCTGAGCAAATCTTGCCCATATATCAACATCTCAGCGTTCAAAAAGCTTCATAAAAGCACCTTAATGTCTGTATCAATCTTAGTCTATATGCTTTATCATATCATCAAATTGTGCATATCATTGTTGTCACTATCATTGGTGACAACAATAATATACTCTAGTGCAATCACTACAAGAGCCATCAAAAGTTACTTTGATTAAACTATTGGATATTTCTTCTCTCTCACTGTAAAATTTCTTTGAAATAGGTCAAACAAAATATGCTGGAGCTCAATTCTGAAGCAAGAGTGGTATCTTGACATTCTCAAAATTTTTGTCACTTGTTTCATCATGCTTCTCATACATAAAGTTTACAATTTTTGCAACTACTATACTTTTGCATGTACGGACATTGTGTCATGATTGCTTGCATTTAAAACATTTACATTTCATCTTATTGTTGCTCATTGTTTAACGTTTTCTTGCATGTTTTACAATTTGTAATCTACAATCACTAGGTAGATGCTGTTGCAGTTCAACATCATCATCAATGGTTTATTTAATATTCAACTCATCACCCTCTCCGTATAACTCATTGGGTCTAAAGTATTATGATGAAGCTTTGCGCAGGTCTTTACCATTGTCAATTTTCACAATCCGATGACGACCTCTTTTCACAATAGGAACAAGTGGATAACAATTCTCACAAACATCCAGATGAAGACTCATTAAAACTGGAATTGTGAAGCATATAATATAAGCAGAGATTAGGTTTTGCAATAGCAATGAAGAAATTTGTGTGAAAATTGTTGTCTTCTGTATCATTCCATGCCATGAGGTGTTAGCACGGCTAGAACATTTCTTGTGTCTCAACGCAAGTACATATGGTTGTTGGTGACAAAGAAATAACGTCATCTTGGCTGCCATCTATAGTAGAATTTTTGCTTTGTACTTCTCGTCGTCAACAACATGTCATTGCTCATTTGTCAGCATGTTGACATTGTGCTGAATATATGTTGGAAAAGTCAAAATAGAATTTTTTCTAGGAGCTTTTGATCATCAAACATTGAACTTGTTCTAAATATGATCTGACAACAAAACAATCAACTTAAATGGTGCATACTATCAAATCTCTAGCAAACTTGAATTTTTTTGTTTTGTAAGACTAGAAGTCATCTTGCTAAACCATCGGAGCAAAAATGCATGTTTAGACGACAATGTCATGTCAATGTATATTGCATGAGCTTATCAAAAATCAAAGTAATGTTTTTATCGGATACATCTATTATTGAGACACAAAGTAAAATGCAACATCACGTCCAATTTTGAATGTTCTCGACATCTGTCATAGCAAAATAAAGAATCAATTTTTTTTTGTTTATGTTGAGAATAGTGGCCATGTAGAGTTGAAAGGAAAACTTCTTGTTCTTCGTGTGGCATGTGTCGAGACCAACTTGCGTTTGACACTATTTCATTGCACTGCGTATCGCTGAAGTACATATAAATGCACGTTAAAAAATTAGAATTGAAATATGTCGACAAATTGATTTCATTGCCCAGATCTTTTTCATGAATCTTTGACATCAAAGCCGCAATCATGTGAAAAGATTTTCTTTGTACTCTTAAATACTGGTCCTTCATCATAAACTATGCCCGTCACATTTGTTCGTATCTTATGTTCAACTTATAAACAATTTTGGATTCATTCATAAGTTCTCTAACATGTACACAAATGTTGCGCAATATTCAATTTTTTATCGTCCCACCAAGCCATTGCAAAGCATGTGTAGAACCTCTCCACTTACTCTCATGTTGCATACATGTGTGTTGACATTCAGTATTGTGATAACAAATGCCGCTTTTGTAGTGCGTTGGTAGCGCATTCTTAAAAGTGCATGGATCTATAAAACTAGATATTTATTTTAGCCGTAAGTCTAATTCATCACGAGCTCTAGTAAGAAAAGATCCAATTTTTTTCTCCAAACACAACATCATGGCGCGGTTCAAAGCTACATAATATCTTCTTTAAATTATGCTTCACAACTTAACGTGGACAATGAAATATATCTTTGCTACATTGTTGAATAATTTTTGTGTTAACTAAAAAAAACGTTGTTGTTTGTTGCAATTTGACTTAGCTGTCTTTGTAGCTTCCGCATTGAGAAGCGTTGCAACAGTAGTCGTGAAAGTTTTTGATTGTGATTGAACTCTTAATTTGTGGAGCTCAAATTGTCTCGTCGTCAATATACTAAGTTAGCACAACTTTATTCTTCTTAAACAAATATTTTTGACTTACAGAATTATATCGGTAAACATGCACAAGACAATTGAATTTGGTTTTGAACTTATGATATGCTCTGACTTCTATCACACGCTAGGAATGAAGACTTCAATCAAACTACTCAAAATTGTTAAAGTGCTCTCCTCATCTTTTACGTTGGACCTCTATTTGGACTTCTCTTGGAGTTCTTCTAGCCAAATCAACAATCTTACTTGTTTGCTCTCCAACTATCTTGTAATGAAAATATTGATGTTTAAAAATTGTTGAAGTTGGAATAAGTATCTGTTGTGCATTGGGAATCTCAATGACTGTAGTTACATTCGAATAGTATATTTGCAAAGAGTCCACATAGTCGTACATACTCTTCAACTTGAACTTTATGTTCAACACAAGTCTCAAGTTTCAAATGAGGCTAAAAAACTTATCTCCAATAACTTTTATTGGATTCTCATAAGTAGTTCTACTTTATACAAATCTCATTTACTTTGTCATATACTTGAAGCCATCACTCTCATGACTAATATAAGAACTTAAAGCCAACTCTAAGTCGTGATTGATATATCTTACCTATAAATAAAGTTAACACATTCTACATCTAATACAACAAAAACAATTGTGATTTTGAATATACATGTTTTTGATGCAATATTTATCATCGATTCATATTTGACAATATGCAAACGTTCAAAAGTATAGAGCCTTGCAATTGGTTCCTATAAATCTTACAAGCGTACATGTTAAAGGTTAGTAGTATGTCTAATTCTACAAACATGGAGTTCAAATGAAGTTCCTGGGAAATAGAGGATATATTTTCCACATTTTGAGCACTATATCCAACGTCAAGACTCTCTATGTCTTATGTCAAGACGCGCGCTCGCTACTACATAGCTTCACTAGGCAGATGCTGCAAGAGAATCCACTAGATAGATGTTGCGATAGAGCTCAACTGGACTTCCAACGTAAAGAATCGCGATCGCTGCAACAGAGTTTCATGTCGTCTATTTATGCTAGAAAATCCATGGCGTGTACCATCGATGAGGTGTTCCATTGGATAAAACAAAACTTAAAGTATCCCAGAAAGCAATATAGATTTTGATTTGTCTCAATTTGTTGTATTTGACAAACTAATTGTGTGACTATTGTATGCGTTAACCGCGTGTGTTGATTTTGAAACACGCTATTGTTAATACAAACATTCAGAAGCTATTGTATGCATTCAATTAATTAGATTGTCTTTACGTATATGAATTTGTATATGGTAGTGTTACGAGACATATGCCTATAGTTTCCATGCCGTGTCATACCCAGCTCAAGAAAGAAAAAGGAGAAGAGCAAAGATTTACTCATCTTATCTTGTTATATCTTCAACATTCAATTTTTCATAACTCACTTCCTACGGCGCAAACACATGATACTCATGTATTCCGAAGGAATTAGAAGGAACTTCGATGACAATTGTCTATATACAAGGTTTTAAATATAAAGTCTTAGAAACCAGGAATGTTTTCGGTGAAATCAAGCTCATAGTCTGACTACGAATGTGGAGTCAGATTCAAAGTCGACTTTCGCACACATCATCGCCGAAGAAATAATACTCATACACTCATCGAAAAATACCGAAATTCCTTGTGATTTCTGCTAAGCGACCCGCAACAATGTAAACATCTGAACCACGTCGCCAATGTGCAACGAGCGGTCGCTCGTGCCGGGCGGGGTCGGTGTGTGTGTCGCCTGGGAGGGACTCACCTGTGCATGTTACCGGCAGGGGGAGAGAGCGGAGAGAGAGAAAGAGAGCGTGGGGTCGTCGTCAGTGCAATGGGCGAACGAAGACTGGCGGGAATTCGGATATCGGACGTCATGTGGACGGGTAACGCATGAGGGGACATAAATTGAATGATAAACCGCTGGCTGCTGCTGAAGGCCAGGCCACCCGTAACCGAGCGGAGCGTAGCGTAGCTGCCGGAGGGCGGTACTTGCAGCGAGAGAGTCCCCGTGACCCCGACCCCGCGAGGAAATTAGTGCGTGAGTCAGACGACCCCCACCCTCGTTTCTATCCCTTTCTCTGCATTTTGTTCCCATGCTCGATGATCCTCTCGAGGCCCGCACCTGGCAGACAGCCAGCCACGAATAGTTGACTGGTTTGCTGGTCTCTGCGGAGGAGGTCCGGAGCATTACTCGAAGCAGGAGGAGGAGAAGGAGAGGAAGAAGAAGTGAGACCTGCCCGCGTGCGAGAGCGGCAGGAACGCTGCAGTCTGCTGCAAGCAGCGACGAGGTTCGATGCGTTGTTGTTTTGGATGTGTCTGGGTTCTCGAGGGTTTGGACTCCGTTGGTTTGGGTGGTTTGTTTCGCGATCTAAGACTCCTCCCTCCCGCGGGAGTGCTGCTGCTGAGTCTCGTAGCTTACCGCGAGCTTGCAGGCTAGGGTTTGTGCTGGTCGTGGGGGTTTCCTTTTTCCCGTTGATGAAGTTCTGTATCTGCACGCTTTGGCTGGTGGGACCCGACGACGAGTGAGTTGTGGTCCGTGGTTGCTTCGCTTAGCTTCGCTTCCTTGGTTTGTTGATCTCGGATTGTTGTTCGTCTGCTGTGGTGTGGGATCCAGAGGCGGAGTACAGGTCTTCTTTGGTTGGTCTGAGCCGTCTAGCATTGTTGGGGAGACCTCCAGTTCGAATGACAAAGCAAGTCGAACCACTTGGCTGCATAGTGGACTGATGGTTTGAGATGATTTTAGGCCGTTTGCAATTTAGTTCTGTTTCGCCCGACTTTGAGCAACTCGACCAGGTGTTTCGAGATTTTGTGGTCGGTTTATTGGGACGGACGGTGTAAGTCAGCGCTTTGTGTTACAGGCAGGCGGGCGGGGGGCAGTGTTGTGCAGTGTTCCTTAGTTTCTCCCTTGCGAGGGTTTGGAAGCGGAGAAGACGGAGGAGGAGTAAAGCGGTGAAAATGGAGGTTTCTTGCGAGGCTGCAACTTTTCGAGGAACCTCGGGCGAGCGAAATTGCGGTGATGAGTTGGTTTCTGTCTCGTTTGCAAGGATGACATGAATCTTTAGCTCAGTGGTTGGGTGTGCTGATTCTGGTCTCTCTTACAAACTTCTTTTCTTGCCTTGAGATCGACCGGGATCTTGAAGAAGTTTCGTCGATTGAGGATGGCGTATGTTGATACCGGAGAGGATGAACTGGACTACGAAGATGAGGACTATTCCGAGACGGGAAGAACCTACACGCATCCGACGGGGGCCATTGCAGCTCTTGCTGAGGACGAGTTAGAAGAGGATGACTATGAGGATCTTTATCAGGATGTAGATGTGGGTTTTTTTCAAAATTCCGAGGGAGGTCCTCCGCCCCCGGCACGGTTCCAGAACAGCGGTCAAAATGGCGCAGAAGGGTATGGCGACGAAGATTATGCTGAGGACTACGAGAGGGTAGGACGAGGAAGACCCAGCGAAGAAGGAAGATATGCAGAGGAGCAAGCATATAGAGAGAGGACACAACCTGGTATTGCTCCAGGAGCAAGGAACGGGAAAGTGAAAGCGGAAGGAGACTACGAGCCGCAGGATTACGCAGAGGGCAGTAGAGCGGAGGCCCTCGTGGAACCGAAGGAGGAGGTAGGAGATGTCGGAGATAATGAAGGTGGCGCAGATCAAAATGAGAAGGATGATAGAGCGAAGCAAGTGAACTTGGAGATGAGTAGGGCTGGAGAATATGGTGCGCGAACAGGAGCAGTGGTTGCACCCGCGAAGGTCAGCGATGAAAGGGATCAACCAGAAGCAGATACCGCTATGGGGTTAGGAGGACGAACAGGTAAGAATCCTACCAAGGTCAAGGAAGAAGGCGATTTCTCTGGGGGTAGTCAAGCCAGGACCGAGTTGCAATTAGGAAGGCCTGCAGCAGGCAGAGGTAATAAAGCTCCTGGAGCAGGCACTGGACCTGGAGGGTGGGTCAATGGGGGTGCAACAAATGACAGCGGAGGACTTTCGAGAGGAGGAGGAGCCCCTTCCTCTAGAGGAGGGCAAGAAGGTTCGGCGATGTGGCCAGCATCGGCAGGGAGAGGTGCCGGGGCACCGACGACAGCAGCAGGAAGTACTCTGGGAGCTGCCGTTTTGCCTGCGGCCAACACCGCTGCTACTATCCCGAGTAGAGAGGCAGTTGGTGCGCCTACTGATTACGTAGCGAAACATGGAGCAGCTCATCAACACGAGACTGGGAATATCATGTTATTCGTTGGTGAGCTCCATTGGTGGACAACGGATGCAGAACTGGAAGCGGCTCTTTCGGAGTATGGGCGTGTGAAGAACCTCAAGTTTTTTGAGGAAAAAGCCAGCGGGAAGTCGAAAGGTTATTGCCAAGTTGAGTTTTATGAAGCGGGAGCAGCTCGATTGTGCAAGGAGAAAATGGATGGTAGGGTATTCAACGATCGACCCTGCGTAGTGGCCTTTGCATCGCCGCAGACGATCAAGCAAATGGGTGCTGCCCAAGTTGGCAAAAATCAAAATCAAGCGCAGGGTCAATCAGGTGGGCAAGGTAGAGGACGGGGTGATTCTGGCTCAGGCGGTAGAGGTGGAGCGGCAGGCGGTCAAATGGGAGAAGGAGGTAGAGGTTACGGAAGAGAGAAACTTCCGATTGGAGGTCGTGGTCAAGGACCAGGTGAACGGGGAAGAGGATCTGGAAGAGGAAGGGGAGGAAATATGACAGGACGAGGTGGTGGTTTAGGAGGAGGAGGGGGTGGAGGTGCTCCATTCGGCCAAGGTCCACCTGGTCCTATGGGCGGAGGCCCTGGAGGGATGATGCCTCCTCAAGGAATGATGGGAGGAGGATTCGACCCTGCATTTGGTCCTCCTATGGGAGGCAGAGGTGGTTACGGTATGGGTCCTGGAGGACCTGGAGCAGGCTTTGGTCCTCGAGCGCATCCTTTTGGGGGAGGGCCTGGCATGGGACCTCCATTTCCTGCAATGGGTCCAGGCCTTCCAGGGGTTGCACCTCATGTAAATCCAGCCTTCTTTGGGAGAGCAAATGGGAATGGACCGGGAATCGGAATGGATGGACCAGCTGGAGGATGGGGAGAAGGGCCGATGCCTGGCTGGGTTGGCGAGGAGCACGAGAGAAGAATGGTGTATGGAGAGGATATGGGTGGGCCAGATTATGGCTATCCTGGAGAAATGGGTCCTGAAAGATTAAGACCGGGCCCAACGAGGGAACAACGAGAGAGAGGTGCGGATGGAGAGTGGGTTGGACCGGAGAGAAGACGTCGAGAAGATCGCGGAGAGGGTGAATGGGATAGAGAAAGACACAGAGAGAGAGGTGAACGAGAGGGATACTGGGAACGAGATCAGGGACGGGACAAAGATAAGGATTGGCAGGAAAGGGAAAGAGCTCCAAGGGCAAGAGACAAGCCGAGAACTGGAGTTGAAGAGGAGGAGCGGCCAAGGTCTCGAGATGAAGATTTTGGCAAGAGGAGGAGAATGGTTGCCGAGAGGAAGATTGAGCGGTAGCTTTTGCGTTTTGATCCTTTGATCGAGGACCTGCTCATTCCACAATGTTTGATGTGTTCTGTTTGCTTACGTAACATGTGTGTGCTGAGGGTTTGTACCCAGGAGGTTTTATGTGGACTCCTAGTTCAGATATAATTGTAGTCACAGGAAGAATACTTTGTCGATATCTACGAGTCCTGGTAACTGAAGTGGGAATTGGTTAATCAGTAGGTGCCTATGATGCTGGAGGAAACAAGTTATGTTGGATCAGGGTGCTTAAAACACGGCCATATTGGCCTGGGAGGGGCATAGTGTTAACTTCGCAGCGCTAGGAAACATCAAATCTGCCAACCCTTTGTCTGGGTATCACATTCAGCAACCGGAAAAGATCTTACAGCATTTTAGTTACTCTTTTCATGAATGATGAGCTCATGTCCTTGCTTTTAGTAGCTATGTGATGGACATATTGTAATCTTTGCGAGCTTGATCTGCACGTCCATATCTTAAAAATCGGTAGCCATATGACCTTGTACTGATGGTTTCTGTAGCTGTACTGGGTCTCCTTTGGGAAACGAGGAATGTGCCAAGAAAGAGCTGGAATGGTCGGTAAGATTGATCTTGAAGATCTTTTCACATCGTGTTTAACGATGTTGTCCTGTTAGTAGGCGCCACTTTTTGAAATCTGGTAGTGTACACTTCCAGTTGTAGCATTATTGAGTAGGTATTAGAAAGTCAAAGTAGGTCGGTTTGGCACATGAATCTTTCTTCTCTCTCGTTCACCTCAGAAAAGTCGGCTTGTGGCTTGTATAGCATCTTTCACATCGTCCTGCAGTCTGTTTGGAACACAACTCCTACGAAATAGAATAGAAGAAAGCTTCGTTACACAATTGTTGAGACAATATTTCTTGCTATGTCTGGGATAAGTGGATGACATAGCAAGATGTGCCCATTGCCTGTTAGTTATAATAGCGAAGGAGAGACATCTCTCTCGAATCAGAAGATGCACATTTAGATGGAGGACATACTATGAAAAGTTGGGTGCGAAGCTGATGGAGACATCTCCATCGCTGTGTAGATAGATTTGTAATTATGAAGGAATGATCTTTTGGTTTCCTCCAACTCATGGCTTCTCATCTGACTGATCTCTTCCAGCTCTTAACCATGATTACTGCTATTTTACCGACGTTCTCAGCCATCTTGAAGCATGACAGTAAAATTCTGTTTAGAAGAGCAGTACATGTGTTGTGTGAGTGACAGCTGTGTGCGGGTGTTCAGTTACACAATCTTCTTCCATTTTATGCTGTTGACATATGATCCGTTGGAATCAAAATGTGGCAACATATCAATAAGAAATTTGACAATTTCGGAGACTAAGCGCGTGTTACGTTGTCCGTTAGTAGTGTCGTGCACGCATGTAGCTTGTGATCCACCCATAAAAATCCTAAGAGGCTATTGCATCATTTTAGGAAGGGAAACGTCCACCATAACCCCCAACCCCGTATCTTCGGATCAAGTGACACGGTGAAACATCTCAGACAGTGGTATCAAGTAAGATGGAACGCGGATATTATCCAAAAGGTGTGTAAGCCCTGTCAATTTAGGCGCCTTTTAGGAGAGGTAGAGATAATACGTTCATAAGCCAACGTGCCCTTTAGTCCTCGGAGAGGTTTAGATGTTTGTCGATCACACTTTCGCGGTGATGGCAGTAACATATATCGTTGGTCTCGGTTGAACTGCAAGAGATGTTCTTCTCTTTTGTTGGAAAGATATGCATTTTGGATTTGCCTGGTTGTTAGTTAATCAGGAAGAGAAACAAGGGATTTAAGTGGAGGCCGGAGGATTGTTCTTCAGAGTTCAGGTGGATTTGAGAACCGTGGAATTGATGATGTTATTGAGGGTAGTAAAATTTCCTTAACATATTTCAGGGATGCACATGGAGGTGGATACAAACACAAGTTAAATGGAGATTGGGTTTTTTGGGAGCTTTACACACAAATTCAAAATAGAGAGAGTAAAGAGAGTTTGGGCACGAAGTTCTAGGCAGTTTTACTCCTATCGTATGTAAACGTCTTCACCAAGCACATAGTTTATCTAGTAGAACTCGATTGGAGTAGATCATCCCATCATCCCAGTAATAAGCATCATTCGGGTATGTATTCGAAGCTATTGTCTGATCTAATGTAAAATATACTATTTAGGATCAAAACAAAACACTTGGTAATATACTACCACTACGTCATTCAAGAAATTTGTAACGCGTTCGAAACAGTTAATACGTTGTTATTTAATCAACATGTATACTTTTACACTGATCTAACATTTTATTTCCGTGATATTTTACCACTCGAATATTCATGACATGAATGTTATTAGTACTTCATATTTGGAAAGTCGTATTGAAAATACCTAAAAAAATCAATAATATAAATAGTCAGTAGTCAAACGATTCCGAGATGATGTGATCATTCTTGCGATATACAGAGACAGTTGACCTTATCAGAGATGAATATATTATTGATATTCTAAGAATACATTGAGAATAAAATTCAATTTTTTCTGTTACTCATATATTTACATATATAAAATTATCAAAAAAATTTCATTAGATTGACTTAAGCATATGACTTGAAGAAGAAAGGCTTTATAGGAAACGTAAACCTATATACAATGTGTTGATTAATTTGAAAAAGTGATTTGTTGGATAAAATATTTATTTTTATAATGAATGAGAAAATAACTAAATTACAAAATATTTTTTCACAGCATTTAGATATAATATGAAAATAAATTTTTATTCTTCATTATGTTAGATATGTTGTAAACAAGGTTATAAAAGTAAATACTAGTCAAATACCACGTAGAAACAAACAACGAAATGTGGGAGACCTAAGATTTTAGCTAATTAACTCGACTAAAAAATTTAGAAGATCCTAAGGTCAGGATAATCCTCTTCTATATGCTATGTTATTTCATGATTTAATAAGTCTGCCAGCAATAAGCTCTTGATTCTTGATTTGAGTTACAAAGGCATGTGCAATGACATGAGTATGAAAGCACATGCATCGTGCACTTGCAATTGAATCCCTTCTCGATGTTGGAGATAATAATCAAAAGCTTCACCTGTTCAAGAAAAAATCAAAGGACCGAGCTGAGCAAGATAGCAAAAAGATGGAAGACCCTTCAAGTAGTGGAGGGAAGAAACTACTGGTAAGGGTGAGGATATACTCCAAAATCATCCCAATGGGAAATATTTACACTTCATCCGACGTTGTTTACCTGACACAAAACAAATTTTACCGCTTCGGTGAGTTCGTGCTTGTAACTTCTCCAAATTGACCTCGTGTTCAGATTAAGTGACATTCTTTGAAGCCACCTCCCGGTCCTCGTCAAGTCAAAGTTGCCTTTCTCGAGGTAGTCACGGCCGACGGTTCGAGACTGATTCTTGACTCCTCAATGCAAACAAAACCCAATCAACGTTTGCTTTTCCAGTCTCCTGAGCGTACAACTATTTTCCTGCAGGTTGTGTGGCCAACGCAGTCCGTTCTTGGATCGACATATGGAGCCTGTGCATGCCACTGAACAAAGCCATACACACCAGAAATTTTTCTTATCCACCTATCTTGTTGCCACTTGCATGTCTCGACTAATATATCCTTATCTACATTTCTGACTTAGATTTGACGATTCCTAGGAGATGATCTTCATGCTTCCTTCCGCGTAGAAATTCTCTTCTCACTAAATTGGTGGCTGATTTTCCGTCCAGCACAATGTCCACGTACTAGCAATTTTGAGGTAAATCACATTTCACCCCTTTTTTATGTCCGGAAATTATCTTGCAATGAGAAAATTTTCCGGTCTCTATGGACTGCAATCCTACCGGCTGGAGGCTGACAAGAAATAATTTGAAATCGGTATGTGATTTCACCATATCGGGTAATAACTTTTCATAGAATGCGAAGACGAATCCACAGGGGTCAATGTGGGTTTCAGATGTTATATGTTTCTTTAGTTATATTTTGGAAGTGGCGGGGTTGACGAGTCGTTTCTGCATCATGCATCTGGTTCACAACAGATGGTTTTCTGAGAACAGAACAGTGCTAGCTGGCGCAGCTTTGCATCCAAGTGTTGCTAGAAGGTAGTTCCAGCTCATGGGTCCCTGCATGCGATTAATTCTGAAAGGTCTAGTTAGACAGTACGAACGAATCTGAAATTCTAGAGGACGTTGTTATTCTTGCTTTACATCCTACGATATTTTTTGTAGGCAGAAGGTCAGTCATGGAGTGGAAGCTTATCTAGGCCAAAAGATTCTGGTGTCGTCGCGCGACATGTTTCTCCTGAACAGGACTGACATGCCGGCGCAAGGAATGAAAATATTCCGCGAGTGGGTGGAATACCACAGTTGCATCCAATTGCATGGGAGGATTGTCGGACTCGAACAAAGGACAAGGATGTACACGTAAACTTGTTAGGAAAAATTAGAAACAAGCCTCCGTAATTACGAGACGAAGTTGCCACAAATCATACACCTTCTAAATTCTGCAGTAGGACGTATTCCTCTCTGTCATACTTTTAGGACTTGGGGCATGTTGCATCCACTTATCACTTGATGGGTCTTTTCCTACTTTTTCTCGATTTTAAACTTTGCTGTCATGTTCAGCTTTGCTATTGTACGTTATCTATGTATGTGAGTCAGAATACGAATTATGGACATACACTGAATAAAAACCTAATGGAGTGGAACAAAACAAGAGGATAACAGAATCATAAGGCTACTTGGTACGAGGGCCAAAACAAAAGAAGAGAGATTCGCTATCAGTTTCTTTTGCTTGCGCCAACAAACACTCCACATGCATTCAAGTGATTCTACTAAAAAAATGTACATATGAAGTTAAAAGTTTAATATTTTTCTAAATATTGAATTTTAGCAATTTTTTTAAAAAATAATGGTATCTGAAATGAAATCTTCAACTTAAAATCTAAAAATGGTTTTTCTTATTTCAATAAGATGAATTTTGAAAATAAAGAAAATCTTAAATCAAAATTTTTTAAGTTTTGAAAATTGACCAATGTGTCTAAATGAACATACAAGAATTATTTAAAACATGAAAATTTATTTTTTCATAAATTTTCAAACATGATAAAGATGTAAGAATTAATTAAGATTTTTTTTTCTTGATTTTTTTTAAAAATAAATTCTAATGATCAAACAAACCAAAAGAAGAATATACAAAAAATCATGAGAAAAATCAACATACTTAAATTTATATCAAATTAAATATTAATGAGTGAAAACATGAGATTTCTTTAAGATAAGACGATATACTATATGAAGGTACTTCATGAACAAATCAATTAAATGTTTGTGACTTTATAAATAACAAAGTTGAAATACCTTGAAAATCATATAATGTGATATTACTAAAAATAAATTAGTGTGTGATCTTTTCTACATAATTTTTGAAATTTTGTGATCAACCAAAATAATATCAAAACACTATGTAACATTATAGGACTACAAAATTTAGAATAACATTGAGCTGAATTCTATTCAACTTCATATGAACATGTGATCGACGATATTTTCGTGGTCCATACGTGAAGAGGATTGAAATATTATGTGTCATTTTTATATATGATAATCATCACAATAATTTTTGTGCTCCCGACTATGTATAGATATGAGAATATGGTGTTGAACTCCAAGTCATATTAAAATATCCATGCATTATGGTATACTAAATATACTTAAAATCCAACGTATATTCATTGTCAGTAATCTCACATGGGAGAGCTGAAGCCGTAAACGATAGACGAACCCAAGATTTGAGACCCAAGAAGTACAGTACAACCTTCGACTGTGGATGTTACGAATAGATTTGTTACAGTTGAAGCATGTCTCTATCCACATTGTGTTCCTCTCCTGTTGTTACGCGTTTAAGACACTTGCGGTATCTACTGCGCAACAAAAGTCCCGTTCATCTATGCACGCTGTGTATGCTTTCAATAGAGTTTGTGTATTCCTCAAATCGGGCCTTGTCGGTGATTGGAGTTTAATAATCTCTGCCGGGTCATCCAAACTCTGTGCGGATTCTGCCTTCAATAAGGTGCACAGCAACTTTGGGGTTTTTGCACGCCAGGTTCACTGTGTACGTAACTATTCCCCCACGAAATTCGTCACTTGATATGTCAAACATTCTCTCACGACCTTGTTCACGTGGACTTAAGAAAAGACCTCGATTGATTGTGACCTCGTCAAAAGAAAAATTAAGTCTTAAGACCTCGATGTGTGAGACAAAGTGTTTTGTGACTGATGCCATTGGTTCTAGCCCGACATTACCACTTGGGTTTCATCCACGTAATTTTGGGGGCGGGGGCACATGGATCGTTGATACCTCTCATCGTTTTTGTTGTCCACTTGGCCCTTAAGTCTCACATTGTGACCTCGTCCCGTTGTGCGTCTTGGAGTGACACTGTTCAGGTCACTCGCAAAGAATGCGAGTCACCCGAACACTCATTTAACGGAAAACTGATCCGGAAACGGATTTTGGCAACAGGGATCTGCAACGGAAAAGTGAGAGAATCTGCTACAGGGAGTGGAAGGACTTTTGGGAGCCTTGGATTTAGCAAACGGTTCGAACCACGTAAGGACGGGCTACCACGGTGCAGATACAGTAGTAGACGATCATGCAGCGCATTTTGAATCGCAGAAGAACACGACGAGCCGTTCACGGGCTCCGGAGGGATGTCATCATGCCGGCACTCGCACAACGGCTCCAAACTCAAGAACCAGGGGCGTTGCTTTTGCGCGCGCCAGCAGCGGGGGCCCTTTCGGCCGGCAAAGCCTGTCGTCCCCCAAAGCTTTCGCCGGGTAAAAAAAACCCGAAAAGGTTCACGCGATAAGGACCGAGAGACGAACGTTGAGCAGCGACGGGTGGAAGGCGGAAAGCGGGGAAAGGCGTAAGGCGGAAACCGGAAACCGATAAATGAAGACAAAAAGTCTGTCTTCGGTGGGAGCGACTGGGCACGTGTCGAGTTGTGAGCGGGGAGCGTGGACAAACCCTAAAGGCCCAGAACTACGATGCTCGGGCGCCATGGCTACGCCGAGAAGTCCACCGCGCTCACTTCGTGCTCTGACAGTTTGGGTTAGTGATGATTAAGTCTCATCAGCAGAATAGCGTGTACGCCTGATCGCACGCCGGGCTCGACAGTCGTCATTCATTGAGGCCGTGTGCGGACTCGGCTTTGTTTGTTTCATGCTGTCCAATTCGGTTTTCCAGTCCGTCCGGTTCGTTCATTTGGACAGGCCCGCCCGCCCGATCGAACAGTGGCCCAGTTTTTCGTGACTCGGTTTTATGGGCCGAGATAAAGTTGTCGTGTCGACGTTAATTTGTCGACGCTCAGGGAGTGGGGGGACAGAGTTTCTCGCACTGCTCCGGTTGGTCCTGATTCACGCAGTTTATTACCGATAGCTATGGGCCCGGGGAATCGAGGCTTTACTGTGCGCGATGGGGCCCATGGGTGTTGGAGGAGAGAGAAGTGAAGTGAGCGTTGGGTTGCGACGCAGGGGTCGATGAAACCTGTCGACCTTGGTTAGGATGTGTGCGTTTTGCGGAGGTGGGAATTTTATATGTGGAGACCGCGTGGTGAGGCTTCTATTTAATTGACAGATTTGGTCACAGCCTTCGTCCTGAATTCCGGGCGAAGTTTAGAATTCTCGACGCATTTCAGAGGACTGTATAGATAGCTGGGGAGGAATACGGTGTATGGACCCTCGTGTAGCGTGCAGGTTGAGGATCTGTATTTGGTGAATGAGAGTGAGTGAAAGGAGATGATTTGGGTAAGATCAAGATGACGGATAGCAGTACACTTGTCGATGACGATTGAGCCGCCATGGCGGCACCTGGCGCAATTCGAGGTTTTTGTGACAACTGCCTGACGAATGTCGGATGAATAGTTCTAGCATCAATCGCAGGATGCGAAGGACTGAGGTCGAGCTGAGTGCAGGTTGTTCTCATCAGTAGGAGATTTGGGTCGAGAGTTCGGGTGTTTTCCTCAATCGTAGATGTTAGAGCAGAGTGAGGATCTGAAGAGAAGGGCAGAGTTTTTTTTAGCGTAGGTTGACGTAGATCTTCAGTGGTGGACTCAATTAATATCTGGTGCGTTTTTTCAATCAGCAGTCAGAGAAGCATGATATGGGTGTTTTCGTGGGAGAGGTTTGCTGCTGCTTCATGCGATTTGGCTTCTGAACAGTTGTGACTGGGGGAGATGTTACGAGGTTTATACAGAGGTTGTTCCCTAATCTGTCAAAGTCGTGTTGACGAGGATGCTATTATTAGCCCGCTAAAGAAAGCCTGAGACTCGATATCTAATTGTTTTGTGTATAGAGTTGATCGCAGTTATGTCTGGAATGGTCGACCCCCTGAATCATGTCGAAAAGGATGAGATGGAGGAGGAAGGACTGGGTAGTCCTAACGCGAGTGACGATAGAGCACACGAGGCCTCCATATGCGAAGCCGATCAAGCGAGCACAGTGCTTAAATGGTCTTCAGAGAAAGTGAAGAGCTGGCTTCAACAGAACGTGTCCTTTGACCATGACCGTATGCAAGGTTACGCTTCTCTGCTCTTTTCGGCAATTTTCTGTACTGTTCTTGAGGCAGTGGAGAAATTGTTTTGGAAATTGCACAACAATTTACAATTTCATCGTCTAATTAAACATGAACAGTTCTCGTCTCGAGAACGTCTTAATTGATGAAATCAAACGGCGCGTTTGCTGTTGGAGAATCGACGTAAGTGTATGACCCGTGGACGAATCGCCTGGCTATGGAGGTCAAGTGTTTATGATGTGGAGTTCAGCACATTAACAGCGGAGCCATTTTCGAGATTTTGACTAGCACAAGCTGCCTTCGGTCTCTCTGGGAGATCTATACTTGTATGTGGGTCGCGTGTGTACATATTTATCAGACCAGACTGCTAAACGTTCCGGGAACTCCTTTCCGTCTGCAGAGTTTTTACACACTTTTCAAAATGAAGGAATAGATGGCCTTGGGCTTCTGACGTTGCAACGGAGCCACCGAGCCTGCACGGGAATGACTGATGCAGAGTGGCTGCTTCTTAAGGTATTACTACAAACTATGAGACGTGACATCGTACCTGTGTGCGTATTTGTTTTCGACGGTGAATGCTCGACTATCGATAAAATCGCCATCATGAGGGCTGGAACAGCTGAGTTATTTAGTCTTTTTGGTCTGCAGGCATCAAGAAGGCGGTTATTGACTCATGGTGAAAAGTCAAGTGGAATGCCGTTGAGCAGGCTCACAGTAGAGGAGGTTTTGGGAGCTATGACACCTCCATCAACACCTCCCAGTTTGAGGTATGAGACAGACACCTAATTGGTAGTTTCGAAACCCGTAGAAAGGCCATCCTCCTCGTTTCACCTGTCCTCCGACCATCTCACTAAATTTGTAACGACCAGGATATACCATTCCACATAACGAAATGGAGAAGTTCATTTGTGTGGCTTTAATCGACTTGGAACTTAGCACTCAAAATCAAGCGAGTTCGCATTCATGAAAACGCTTGACACCTTCTTAAACCCTCGTATAAGAATCAATTCTGGGTTATTATGTACAGAGTTTGAATATCCGTCACTGATTATGATAAAGGATGGTTTCTCCCCTATGTCCCTGGGTTGTTTTGGCCAGTTTGAGTAAACATAGGCTAAGTCCTTACCAATCTTTGCAGCTACAGTCATGGCGAAAAATTAAAATTTTGCTCTATCACGGGGAGGACTATGTCGACGATCCGCCTGTACAATTCATCGTCATTCCTGCTATAGTGCATGTATTTCGTTCAGATTGAACTCATTGATCTTACTCAAGCGCATCCGATTTGACTGATTGCCGTGCAGGATGAACAATCACTTTGGTAGTGGACTTAGTAATAGCCATCATGACTACGGGCTCTTTGGCTCTCCTCGAAAGTGGAGCATACCTGGCCTGAGATGGAGCCATGCCAAAGATGATCAGGTTGTAGTCCAATGGTATGATTTTGATTGATTGTGACATTCATCATAATAGGCCCTTGTATAAATCAATTCTCTTACATTTACAAAGTATCATCCTTAACTTATACACAATTTAGACTGCATATTTCTGGCCCAGATAGAGTATGAATAGACTGCGTGAGTGAGAGTTGAGATCTTACACATGCTTGGCAGTATTTCTGGCAAGAGTTTAGAAGTTGTTGCGCTCTAACTCATGACTAGGTTATTCACGTTTGCAGCTTGAGCATTTGAAAGAAGAAGTTCAGTCTTTGCGCGGGGAAATTGTAGGCGCAGAAGAGCGTGAAACAACACTCCAAGCACAGTGAGTTGGACCTTTCCCCTAGCTGAGTGTTTCTTATATTGAAGCATTCTCACTTGGACAAAAGTTGTGTAGATACGCACATGAATTCTGATCGCTTGCGCGTTGTGCTGGGAATGTCAGTTCTACAAGCTTTAAAGTTGCCCTAGGAAGTAGAAGCGAATATTTGGGGTTAAAAGGATTGGAATCTCTCATTTTCTAGGGTCAGGGTATTTGCGGGCACCTTGGCATTCAGTAACACGTAATTTGTAAGTGAACATTACAAATTGTACATATTACTTGATTGTGATTTATATGTGCATGTGAGCTTAGCTGTAATTTCCCAATGTACATGTAGGTTGAGCCACCTTGATGAAGTGTTGAGGACATCTCAGCTTTCTGGGTACATTCACACTCGAACGGTAAGTTCTCATTCTGTGAGTTCTGGATCACGCACGTACGTTCCCATAGTTGGAGGCTATTACGATATTGGAAGGTAGAGTTCTCTACATTTGGGACCTAGTTGCTAACATAGTACACTACGTTACTGAACGCAGAGATGGACCGCCCTACCTGGCGAACCACCAATACTTGATGATACAGATGTTGATGATTGGATGCTGCGGTTTTTGGTTCTACGTGGGTCCACCATATGCTTCTATCTTCGTGCGACTGGTATGGTCGAAATCACCGCAGTTGGTTTAGCATATTAGGGAAGCGGAGAGTTCGTACTTTGATATATGCCTAACTACTCAATGAGAGAAGGTAATAGTGTTAAGAAGATTTTAGAGTACAACTGCATTCAGCTAGCTGGGGCCATCGCAAGTTTGAGACGAGTGTCAGTGCTTTTCGCAAGCTGCTGTCCTCGATGCATTCTGACCACTGGAAATGTGCAGATTTACGACCACAAGGAACCATTCTTCTCACAGAAATCGTGGAAGCAGGTCCAATTCCAAGAAAGATGCATCATAAGGGTGATAGGCGGTGGTCAGCTTTTCACATTACAACAGTCCACGGACTCCGACTCGAATGTTCATCTCTGCTCAAAGTTCAGGTGAATGAAGTCTCTTTTTTTTTCTTTGTTTTTAGAAAGTCACTGAAGATAATTTCAAAACCTCGTAGCCTAAGTACCTTCAGAGTTTGGAGTTTGCTCTCTTGGCCGACACTTCTTTCTTGTCATTCTTGTCAACAGCGAAGGTTTAAATTTTTGGTATATCTCTCCTTAATTCTTGCGATAAATGCAGGTCGATTCTTGGCTCACATCGATCGGAGCGAGCTACATCAGGGTCGAAAGAAAAAAGTCGGCCGATCTTGAGAGGCCTCTTTCAGGAGCGTGGTTGAAGGTTCTTCCAGTTGATCTTAACGAAATAAGGTACAACTGCAGCAAAATGAACCGGACTTCTCATTTTTCGTGCCTGGATCATGACTTGGTTGATGAGATGAAGTCTGGAGTCCCGCTGAATTTTATTCAACTTAAGTTATGAATCTCATTGGATGTAATATTTTGAAATTGCAGTCAAGAGCGCGATCTATTTGGTGGAGGAAAGCCTACCAAGATTGAAAATGGCTGCTGAGGGTCTGGAATGGATAGTTTTTGTAGAACATTTCCTCTTGGGAGGAAGTTTTCGTTCTTGGGTTGAGGTTAAATACGGTTGTCTCGCTTTTTGACCTCGACAAGCAAAACTCTCCTTATTCAGAGGTAATCGCGGCCACAATAGCCAGCAGTCAAGTCCTGACATTCTTCAACCACTTGGTGCGTCCGTGAGTGACTGGGATAACACTGCGATTTCAACCAGTTGAGGATGAGCTGAGGAGACCTTTGGAGGCACTCACTCAAGAGGACAGTGTCTCGCTGCAAGTGAACTTGGAGTGGGAGTTCCAGAGGGAATTGGAGCGACCGGCTTCCTTCTTTTTCCAGCTAGGGAACTTGATGTTTCTTGTTGGGTCGGTGTTCTTCAAGTCGAAGTGTGTGCCATTCAGGTGCTTTTGTTACTGAGTCCATATAGAATCGAAGACATTCCTTGATTGTAGTGATAGTTAAAATCTATTTATAAAAGTAATCATAGGCGGTTAGCATTGAGGCCTTTTAGCTAGTGAGAAGGATACAGAGGCATACTTCCTACCACAATATGTCTCTCTAGTGGAGGACGAAAGTGGGATATGTAAATTGATAGTTTATTGTACAGTGGGAAGCCTCATGTTTGAAGTTTCAGTAGGCACTCTCTCTGTTTCAGTGGAGCTGGAAGGATGCACTTTGTAGCTAGAGGCATCCAATCTGCCTGCAGATCTCAGAGGTCGAGATTGGTGTAGTATTGGTGGTAAAGATCAGTTTAGGACCAGGTAGGTGTTGGTCGATTCAGGTGGAAGAGCGTATCTGATCTAGAATGCATACAACTGTAGCGCGAGAACAGACTAAGTATGTTCAATCAAGGAACGTCCTGTAGCTGATGACCTAGCCTCGAACGGGTAGAATGTCCACAGCTGAATTTGCGAAAACTAATGAAAGGAAATACTATTTGTTGAACTTGAGTCTCATAATGCTTGCGCTCTGGATTTTCTCTGGCTGCTCAGTTTTTCGCACACACTTTCTTCCTCGACTCAAGTTGCCATTTGTAACTCAACGATTGCATTTTATCTTTGTGTCGGGTGACCGTCCCGTCCGTATATCATCTCGCGAGCCTAGAAGGTAATGGAAACTGCATGTGATTGTGGCATTAAGAGTAATCTTTGGTGAAACGCTTTGAGCTGACTGAGTTGAAAGGATTTCCTATTCTTGCCGTGTAAAAGGTTATTCGGCTTCTGTATACTATACATTCGATGTTCGACTCCCTAGGATTCATTGTCTTGCATGTGCTCATATGTATTTAAGATGAGTCCGAGCTCCAAAAAGAACACAGAAACAAAGTCAACTCATATCACAACTCGGTGTAGGGACAAGGTTGTGACGTTGACTGAAAGTCCTTCAGGAATATGTAAGGACCCATGTGGTGGTTAAATTTAGTGCTCTGCAAAGCATAGGTACGATTTTATTTACAATTTGCAGCTCCAGCAAGATTTTCGTCAATGTGAATACTTCGAGTAGGCTTACCAGAGTATAAGTTTCGGTATGGCTGAAAGCTTTTACTTTCAAAAAGTTACTATGATTGGAAACCGACCATGAAATCTGACTGTCTAAAAATTGTTACAAGTGTTTTCCGATCCACTTAGAATCTTTTCCTGAGAGAACTTTTGCTTTCATGGGACGTTTACTGCGTGGGGTCAGTTCGTGGACGGATCCGCGATCGGCAGTGGAGTGCCCGAATCCTGGGCTAAAAATGCATACAATCTTATGCGCGTTGAGAGTGACGGGATACCCGACGTCGGTTGCGATGGGTCGTGGTCGTTTCTCACTGACATGTTTTGCTGATTTCACGGGCCTTCTTCCAACCTGGCCAATTTGGTCTGATTTTCATACGAGCCACAATAACTTCTCTCCTACACATCTCAATCTTACTTCGAACCTTTCAACCGACCAAAAAGCAGAACAATTCTTCATCGTACTCCCATACAGGTTACGACAGGCGAGAAATTTACGCTATGATCTGCCTCTATTATAAGCTGCTGATAACTGTTCCCCTTGGAAGTGGAACAATTACCACTTCCAAGCTTGTTCCCCTCTTAAACTCCTTCTCATTGACAAAGACACAAGTGGGCCACTTCAATATCGACCCATCAAGTCCTACTTACCCATGTGGACCATGAACATAGGAAATACCCCATCACTCGTAACGTTGGTCTGGGAAATTATATGAATCGCATCCTACAGGTCCCAAATTAATCTAGGTTAATTTGTTTCCAAACAAGAGGAGTATCACAAGAAGCACTATCGACGATAAGGAACTAATATTTATTTAAGCAATGTAAACACATTACTTAACAAATATACTTCGCAGTGAAGCAAAGAGATTGATAGTCCATTAATTTCTTTAGTCTGACATAGCATTACACAGCGAGTCTCACATGCACGTAAGTAGTACACAGAAAGATGCGGAGACTATGGAAATGGGACACACAAATCACTTTCTTGATCTTAACCTCTCATTGTCTCAAACTGTCAGAATGAACTCTATTGTGTTTCAAAGAGCTTCAACACTCGTTGTTATAAAGTAGTGGCAATCAATCATACACAGCATTTAGCTAGTCTAGCAATCTAGATTGAATTAACCAAGAACTGATATTAAACCCAAGAGTAAGCGTGGTTGTGGCCTTGTTGAATCCAATGTGATTTAACATCCATGACAGTGAGTGACAACCTCTTATCAACATGTTGGAAAAATAGTGAAAGCTGAATGAGTCCATTATCATCGAGAATAACTCAATTCATTCGAAATATATTCAATTGTAAAACATGTAAATGCAATGTATTTTACAAGAATTTCATTGCAAAATACATTTTGCTCTCAAACCATATATACTCTACAGAATTTCTTTTCATAATATACAGATCTTTATTCCATTCAATAAGTCCAATTCTTTCGTCATAGGAATCATGATACCTGTAACGTCATCATGGCTATTTAAAAAGTGTACCCTCTGCATTCCTTAATGATGATGATGACTTGTAATAGAACCATGTTGTATGTGGGTAGTGATAAAAATGCAATTTGAAAGTACAGTAGACTCCCGCTTAGTACGCATCCGTTTAAAAACGCATTATTTTCCCAAAAAATGAGAATTCAACTTTATTTAGTTCAACATGTCATGGATTGTCATGTGGCGCAAATTTTAAAGATTCTTGAGTTTGAAACGATTCAAACAACTTGTTAAGATTATCAAATTTTTCTTTCGGTTCTTCTAAAACTTCTCAGGAGATAAAATTCTGCTCTATATCAAAAGCTTGCTTATAAAATGACTTGATTCTTTAATACAACTTTGTTTTCTAGACCCAAATCTTTCATCATCTTTATCATCTATATTCTCTTCAACCATCTTCATGTCTCCAAAACCTCTTCAACGTCTTCCAACATTGCAGTTGCAAATACTTCACTGTTTTCATCATGAACATGAACCAACTTAAAGCTCTTCTTGCCCATCATAATGATTTAAGGTTGTGATAACTTGTGCAACTTTGGTCACTGAACACTCCATCTTGTTCACTACTTCATTATTTTTGCCTTCACAAATATATTTTTCATAGAGCTTGATGATTTCTTTGATACAACTCGGAGCATCAAGCAGATGAGTTGGACTCTAGTAATGTCGCCTGTTGTAATTTCTTCGTCTGTGTAGGGTTTAGTTCAGATTTGCTCCCGCTTGTTCCACACCTTTTTGATAGCTTCGTCAATTCTATGATATCGGATTGTTGGGACTCATTGAAATGTTTACTTATCGTTGGGTTTCTTTGACTTTGCAGAATAACCAGAAGATCAGGAAGTGATTTTTTTAAAGAACGCACCTACCAGCTAAATACAAACCATCCTTCCGTTCAAGTTGCGTACTTAAGCGGGAGATTACCCTATAACGAGTAATATGGTAAATAGATCAAGCCCGTGGGACCCAAAGGGTCAAAAGGCTAAAAAACACAATACAAACAATCCAACTCCAAACTAGGAGAGAACCAAAAGAATCCCCTAGCTAGTGCCCAAAGCACTAGAACGGTAACTATATATGAAACCATGCTCCCACCCGAGTAATAAAAATGAATAATAAATAGTTAGATGGTTGGATTAACCATCTCACTTGAAACAGATATAACGAAAGTAAAGGTGGCTTAAGAATAGTTTACGATCTTATCAAAGGCTTTTAAAGGCTATGCTTTTGGATGCTTTCCTGTGTTTTCGTGACATTACGTAAGGCTTTCCGAAGGGAAGCAGTATGGAGGCTTGCAGGTCAGATGGATGCTGCCGTACTACATGACCACAAACTAAGTTCATGGTTTAAGAAAAATCAGAAGAGAAAGGGTTATTGAGAAAATCGGGTTCAAGGAAAAGAGGAAGGTCCCTCACCTCACCAGGACAATGAAAGGAGACGGAAGTTCCGGTCTGGTTTCCGCCTTCTGTCTAGTCTACGGTCACGTTGATTTTCCGAGAAGGTTTCCGTCCGCGACCGTACAGTCAAACGCACTTTTGGTTTCCGGCTTCGCCTACAGCTCACACTCAGACACGTACCGTCAGACGCAAAGACCCAAACAACCGATATCACGGTCGGATTCCACGGGATAACTGGGGCAGCGAGAGGAAGGACGGGACTGGAAAGCCAGTTCTTCACGGTCCGTCAAGATTCGGACACCGGAGCTGCGGGAGCAAGTCGTTCTTCAAGGCTTCGCCGGAGGCTACCGAGACGTGCGATTTTCTGAGGGAAGGACGGCGAGGATGAGATGCGAGATCGGACAACAGATGCTCTGCCCGGATCTCGTCGTCGTGCGATGAGTGCCTCGGCGTTCGGCGCAATGCCGAAGCAAGAGGTCGATCGACGAGATGGACGATCTTCCTAGGCTTGGCCACGGTCCGGTCCGGACCGACGGTTAACCGGTTTATCGTCGGGACCGGTTAACCGGTCCCAGATTTCTTCGGAGCGGTTAACCGATCCGAAAAGAAAATCTCCTGTAGGTACCCAATTCGTGACTCAGTGTGAGAAAATTCGTGAGAAAATTTTCTCACGAATTGAGACATTGATCACGATCGAGGTGCACATGTCTGGAATCGAAGAGAGAATAAAAGCCTCTCCCGACTTGTAATTCAGCAAAACTCAGATTAATATCCGTCATGATTAACTCGGGGTGAGATGACGATCAATGTCAGTCATGGGTTAGAAAAATCGCGTCGGGACGTGCAGAGGGTCCCCTCGGTCCCTCCCCATCTCTTTCCCTCCGCCATCACTCCCCAGACACAAATCACCTCGACCCCTCCCCATCGGTCACGTAGGGGTCCGGATCGATGGTTAACCGGTTAAAACATCGGTTAACCGTTAACCCACACGGACCAATACTGGACCGGCTAACCGGTCCACAAATTTTCCGGCCCGTGGCCAAGCCTAGATCTTCCTCTCGTCATGCACTCCATCGACAACGAAGCTGGACACGATCGAGGCGTGGCACGGGAGGAACGAGTTCGTTTGCATGGCGGCAGATGGGATCAGCGATGCTCCCCGACAGCCGATGTGGGTCAGGCGATGTTGCCAAAAAGCGCAGCCACATCGTCGCCGGACGACCATTTTGCCCCCATCGTCCAAGCCTTCGCCGAGGGAAGGAGGACTTTCTTAAATCTTCGTGCTTCGTGGTGCTGCTGATGGGTTTAGTTATCAGAAACCGCAATGGAATGTCTATGTTCAGTTCTCCCCGGTCCGATTTCCGTTCTTGAACATCATTCTTCTCCAAAAGTCTCGAAAGTGCTTCCGAGAATGTCATGAAAGTTCCCCTCACCGTGAAGAGCTCACAGTCGGTATTTTTAGTCATGGCATTATCATGCGAAGCCTGATTCTCACCGATTGGTGTCTCCTGATTTATGCCTTGGGCGATCACGAGCTGGGTGTAGATTGCAGCACATAAGAAACGCAGAAAACTGTAGCACTTTTTCGTGCTCGGGCCAGCATTCTGGTGGCCTTCACGTGGATGCTACTGCTGCTGCACGCTTACAAATGTTGCCACACGCGAGCTAGTTCGTTCACTATGCATGCAGGCGGGCCTGCGAATTTTGTCAGCAACAAGTGTCTCGGTGTGGGGAGTATTCGTGGGATCTTGATGCGCATTCCGTGTGTAAACCAGGCCTCGACTCCCAAGCCTTCAAAGCGCAGCCCTTCCACTGGGAATGGAGTCTGGTCATCGGCAGCGTCATAGCTTTGGCTTTCTTCTCAGAATTCGACAAGTTTCTGAAAAGACTAATATTGTAGCGAGCTGTTTTATGACAGCGGACGCGTCTGCCTCGTTTTGACCAATGTAGGAGTGATTGTGCAGGTTATAAAAACTCGTTCGAATACGAAGTTGCACCACTTTATACAGATCTTTGGACGATACTCTTTCGTTATGTTATCGATACACTTCTCTTCAATGTCGAGTGTCTCTGCGTTGCGAGAAAGGTGTGCGTGTCTGAGATCAGCGCGACGCAGCACAAGCAGACGGGCATTGAAAAGTGCTCATGTATGCCAAGTTCGTGAAAGATGTCAGTATCCGTGGATATGACAAGCTCCTGGTGACAGCCATCGAGCAAGGACGATGCGAGTATCAAAGAGAACTTAGAGGCTCATGACACAAACCTGGCCTTTGATCAATCATATGCAGTGGCGATGAATTCCACCAGCTGGCTACGAATGACTAGAATGCACGACGGTCGGGCCTGCAAGAAGTATCCTGAGAGTCATCTTGTGCAAACTCGAGTTGCCTAAAAGATGAGCAGGTTTCTTGCATCGGATCTGAGACGGTGACCAAATTTCACCATACTGCTTCTGCTGTCTACCCGTAGGAGGCTAACATCTAGAATAAGATTATGGGCATCACTCAGAGGGTGAATGGGGACGTGAAACATCTGAAAAACTCGATCCTGGGCTGAAGTGAACTACTCCTCAAGGAAATGCCTCATTTCAAAGCACTCCATGGTATAAATGCCGTCGGGAGCCTGGGCTTCGAATGCTCGGCACGGAGGGCAAAGGAGCTCAAAACTGTCCTCCTTCGTAAGTCTGTCCATACCTCCAGTACTCGTTGGCCACATCGTTGACGGTAATAGTTCTCCCATCGCTGATGGTGACCATGAACGAGAGAGCCTGGTGCTCGAGCACGACACCCGTGGTCCACAACTGACCCCAGCTCCGAGTCATGGAGATCCACCGACCCTCAGACGAGCCTTTGATGGACATCGCCGTGACGTCGCCCGTGCCCGCCACGTTGTAAACCAGGACCTGCAGGAAGTAAGTGAAGCCGTAGAGGCGATACCGAATTTCGCCGCTCCTCTGGCAGTTCACGCGCTGATAGTCGACGTGCACAACGCCGGCATTGTAAGGGGCGATCTGCACGAAGGCCGGCTCCGCAAGGTCGAAGTGGGATCTGGGCGCGTCGCACCATCCTCCTTTGCTTCCCTGCGGGCAATAGTTAGTTGCAGTCACCGTGATTCTTCCGCGCAGGCAGCGAAGGTTGCCGTAGGGCACGTAGGTGCACACGAGCTGGAAGCAAGCTCCACATGTTTTGCCGTGGTCGAAGATTGCAGAACTCAGAGCAGCGTTCATCGTCCCGTAGCCCATCGCCAGCACGTTTGGATATGCGCACGCACCAGCTGTACAAGCAAGAGATCAGAGATAGAACAGTAGATTGACGATTAGAAACTTGCTCTCTCACGCTATGATGCGTGATTGATGCATCGCTTCTACTACTGACTTTCACTAGTAGTCTCAAGTAGGCCTTGACACAGCGTCATACGTTTTCATCGTATGCCCGATAATTCACAGGATTCAGAGTTTGAAGGGACATACTATTTGTGCCTGAAGCATCGTTCCCACCGTAGAATGTGGCAGTCGCTGGTATACAATCGACTGATTGTCTACACAAGAGCATGAAGCTGATGAGAAACGTCGTGCTGTTCAATATCATTGTCCTCATGGCGGCCGATGTTGTATTACATGCGTGTATCAGAAGCACGAGCTGGCAGATACTGCTAGCACTCAGAAGTCGATTAAACTTTTCCCTTCGAGTACAAGCACTTCAAGTGCGGGACGCGAAAACTCGAGCTTGTACGTGCTGCTGTTGTAGGATGCAGGACAAACGCGACCTCGGTCTCAGACTGATGCTTTCTGCATTGTACTCCTCTGTCTGTATATTGCCCCTCTGTCAGCCTAATATATGCGGCTGCCTTTACAGTCTGACTGACTGATTTACTCACTCCCTCACTTTATCGCATCACTTGCCATTCTCTCAGAAAGCAATTCTAACACGGAGGCTTGGACCTGCTTTCAGCCAGACTGTAGAAATTGGAGGTGACCCCATGCCACGTATCAGACGATCCCATCAGTCGAAGTCGAGGTCAGGAGCACTGCTCAGACCTCCCAATCCTCACTCAAGGCTCGTTTGCCCTCACGACTCCCAGGACCTGGAGCTCAGGTCCAAGACAGGTTAAAGGTCACATAGCACACAAAGTGGAGGATTTGGTCACACGGATGAACGTGTGAACGCACTTTAACGAAGATTTCAGAGCCAGGTACAGTTCCATCCAGGCCTCACGAACGTGCTTAATATGGGAATTATACAGGCGGCTGCATTATCAGCTCGAAATTGCATCACTGAAGTGAAAGACGACCTGACACAGAGTTCTCACAACATGCTGTACATATTAGCGACCACATTACAGTGTGGTGGACGCTGGTGGGATTAGATACTTACACTCAAACTCAAGTCACTGCAATCATAACCAGCTAATGCACGTTCCGGGAGTCCTCGTCTCCCTGGGCTCTGAAAGTTGCACATGCCGGTCCAGAAGTCGAGTGTGAAACAGAACATCAATGTGATGGGTCGGTCCACGGAAAGAAAACCTGGCAAATCTGTCCCCTTGCTCCATCTGCTCGGTACCTACTGCGCCAGGTGCCACTGCCGATTCGACCGACCTCCGAGCAAGCAAGCATGCGAGGAACGTCCACGGGGACTCCCGTCCAGTCAGCAAGTGAGTCAATCATCTTCTCGAACAGTGAATCGCATTCGTGAATCTGTTCCTTACTAAGCTGAAACTCTAATTGGAGACCAGGGCTACGTGCATTTCAATGCTGAGTCGGCCTCCTTCATAATTTTCCTTTCTTAAACGCCACCATGTCTTCTGCATCGTCTGAGCTCTCGTAGCAGCAGAGTGGCTCCCAATCAGGAAATACGTATAGCAGAACTGTGTTCTTCTCAAATCAATTCTTCAAGGGAGGACAAACGGGAGAACAGTCATTCGTCGGATCCATTATGTGTAAAAGTTGTCAGGGAAAACCACACCACTTTTTTCTTCCATTAAAACTCGAGATGCTTCAGACACGAAGCTGTTGGTCAAACTTACTGGCTGACCAGAACACTGAATTTCTTTCTCGACAAGTTTCCTCACGCGGAAGAAAATGACGTTCAAGAGTGGGCAAAGGCTGGAGAAGAAACAATGCCGAAAAAGAAGAAGGTCATTTTCAACACTAGCTTGCAAGTCGTCGCCTGTGGTCCAAAGGTAATCAATCCTTCTTCATCCGCTCTTTGTCGCCTGTGAATTGAACATCCATCCAACGTTCAATTTAGTTGAGCTCGCCGAATAAGTACGCGCAGTTCATAGTGCTCTTCATGTTCACCAAAACTGACTGTCATTAGGATGAATTTTCCAGACCTCGAGTGCTGGGAAAGTGCTCTTATCTTCACTTTGTTTCATTGTCATCCAGCATCAGCTCTGTTGGTGGCGGGATGCCATAAGGAGGTGGATACTGCGATGCAAGAAGGGTTCTCGGATCGTTCACTATGCTGACTGCTCACACTTCGAATGGAGTGGAGAGGTGGCTCAAAGGACATTGAAATTTGCAAATGGTCACCAGATGATAATCTGGAACAGCTTCACGGCGCATCAGACAAGGCTTCAGGTACGGTACGACGACGACGGTGAAACACGTAGTAAGCTTTCAGACCCTGCCACTGACCCCAGTGACGTCCATCAGAAGATGATCCACTGGCACCCTTCAAGTTCCCCTGATCGCAGGGACGAAGTCTTCAAGTTTGAAAAGGCCGCGAGCACGACACCAGGTGCAGAGATTGTCCCCAGCAGCTTCAGGGATTTGAATTTCCCGGACGCCAACTCTTCGGATTTGATTGTCGAAGGTGATATAGCACACTGCGTCTGGACTGTGGCATCAGATAAACCCAGAGCTCATTGGTTCATCTGAGCCGAAAATACTTTCTCATCGCTGGCTTCTAGCCCTCCCGCCCAGCCATCTGAAGTGGATCAGTGTCTTTCGCAGTCCATTCACCGAAGCATTTTTTGCAGTTCATGGCGACTCCCTGCTTTGCTCATTCATCGTATACAAGGACAGATGAGTGCGGATAAGGAGACTGATCGAGAATTACATTTCTGCAAGGTCGCGAGCTGACCTCGTGTGCCCAGTACTTCATCACAGGAGCTGTGTAAAGCACTGCGTATGCTCCTCTATGACCACTATACGGACATGAAGATAGATTGGTAGGCCATGCCAAAGAGTTGGCCGGGGCGAGGCAAGATATTCGAGGGAAAGGCATTGTGGTCTGCGCAGCCTCGCCGCTAAACACAGCGAGGACACTGAAATCGCGCACCACAACTTCTTGTGAGTCACGAACAAGTCTTCTGCCGTTCAACTCTCCGATCGGTCGAACTGTCTGATGCACTGAATCTGATTGCAAACACGGTACGAGAAACGAAGAGTACTTGCTAATTTGCGGACGGTCCGGTCCGAATGCCCCAACGAACGGAATCCTCCGGCCCTGACTAGAGTGTGCAGCACTCAGGGTGGAAGTGAGATTTTCGGTCTGATTGTTGTCTACTTAAGTGTACACATAGTCAAGAATGTTGTTGTTGATTTGGGTTGATCTGGGTGTAGAAGAGTTAGTCGATTTCGGGAATCAGCATTCCACCATCCAGCCCGCATACGGTACAGTACTGCTTCGCTGATTCATTTAAGTGTTCCAGTATTTCGTGGACATAGTGAGTCTTGTGGAGGTTGGTTGGAATCTCTGGATGCAGTTGTCCTTTCTCCTGGATCTCATTCCATTCTCGACTGCCTAGAAGTACCGTATGAATGTGTACCGTCTACTGTGCAACCCATTACAAGGTTTAACTGAAATAAAAATGAAGAAGTCACATATACAGGATCAATTGCAGAGCATAGTGACCTTCCAAAAGAGTTTACTACATTAGTTGATGATGTAAAATGCTCATATCAAGAAATTTCCCACCGCTATTTACACATGTATGCTTGCTCCGATTTTGTGATGCGCTTCAGTCTTCAGTCTTTCCTCCTCACTCCAGGTGCTCGACTCCGACTTCCATTTACGTTGGTGGAATGAGGCTCTTGTTAGGAGCACATGTAGAGACGACTGAGTCAAGCGGAACCAGAATGCATTCGGTGCAGAAGAGTTTAACCTTTTGTGTCACCTACAGAATCAGCATGGAAATGTACTCTAATTTGACCTAGTTCCGACTCGCATGGAACCAGAAGCCATGAGTATGGACCAAAAGGAAAAAATTGAGCAGAAGTCAAAACTCAAACGGTTTAAAATCACCAAGTATTTATTTCTGAGTATCCACGAATGTTTATCGCACCATAGTTACATGAAAGTTGGATGGCAGAGAAATATTGTCTACAAGCCCTCTACGTAGTACCTTAGAGCCTTAGACAAGCTTGGTGGAAGAATGCTTAACACTTCTCAAGAGATCGGAAGTACTGCTGGATTGCATGGGACTCAATTTAACTAACCACAGCACTCGGAAGACGTCACAAGATCCATGAGTGCATCTATATACAGTCCTCATACACCAAGAGGGCATTCACGGCTTAGTTACAAAATATACAGGAAAGTTATCGAGACGGCGAAATGTGCAATGGAAGAAAGAGGTGCAGTTCAGGGCTCTATAAGCCTCAACGCCTCAGCTGATAGGCTTCGTACGAGTCACCACCACGGCCCATTCCTAAGATAGTTGCTTTGATCTCTTTCACAATGCGTCCTTCTCCTGGCAAAGATGAGGTTCCTGTGGTGGCTTGTCGTCTAACTTTTAAAAAGCTTTGAATGACTGTTGATCCTTCTGCAAGCTCGTCGGATCTATTTCCTGGAGCATTATCATCGTTCGCTACGGTGTCTTCCACAGTCACAACAAGAGATCCTATCGATGAGACTGTTCCATTGCTGGCAGTGATTAGAGACAACTGCACGCCATTATAGAGCAGATCCGCTTTGAATGGCATGGGTAGAGGGAGTTCACTTGAAGAAGCATATGTTAGAGCCCAGTCCTGGATCAAGGCCACAGTCTGCAAGGGTGCGTCCATAAGTACTATGTTTCAACTCTGCAGAAAAAATCATATTCTACAGGTTGACACTGTCCTACACGCTCTATACGTAGCCAGATCACAGATGACAAACTAAACTTCTACCCCTTGAATATTGCATTATAAGTTAATTGATAGGGACACAAACATGATATAAGTATGTGTTGTCTATTCGGAGACGATAACGAATTGCAGACGAAAGGCAAAACGAAAAAATTCCATGGTATGTGTCCCTAATGGATGACAGTTTCGAGTAGGTAGCCGCTCAGTGAAAGGAAATTACCTGGGCTTTGTTCTCTTGGCTTACAGGAAGAACTAGCACGTCCAATGAACTTGAACGTCCGAAAAGGCCTTTCCAAGGCCATTCAGTATCGACGGAACCCTCGGGAGCGAAATCACTTGCTGATGAGTCCCTTGGACTTGGATCTACCCATGACCAAAACCTCCAAAACACACCCATACGCAGCTTCCGGTCCGCCTCCACACGAGCCTTCTTTTGAGCAGGAGTCTCCATAGTAGAAGATGGGGCTGTTCGTCAGGGTAAGTCAGAATGAGTCAGCAGTATAATAAAATGTTCCCATGGGTATCCAAACAACTGGACCTAATAGAATCCAGATTCTGTCATTAGGACAAGAGAAAAGGGATTCCTGTGATACATTCTACTAGTAGAATGATTCACAGGAACTGGAGAAGGGAAGGAAGTCGTGAAGTCGTCCATTGAATTTGAGTAGGGTGGAGTTACTGCAGAGTGAGCAAATATTCAAGTTTGTTGGAGTGGAGTCTCATGACTTCTCCTTCTGTGATTTTAGCGTCAATCTGAAGAATTGAAAATAGACGTACCAGTTTGGCTACGCTGCTCCTCTTGTTGACGTTTGAATGTACGAGCTGCCATGAACACGTTGCTTGTTCGCTCCCAGCCACCGCCATACACACCATTGCTAGGCTTGGCCTGGGGACGTATAAGATATTCCAAGATGGGCAAGTCTTCACGTTCTACTAAATGAATGCAATTCACCGGGCACACCTCCCTGGCCATCTGCAACACCACGCTCCACCACAGATCGGATCCGAGCAGTTACGCGTTTTCATTCCCGATGAACTAAGCCTAGTTTTAAGCATAGACTCATGGTACTCACCGTGATGTTTGATTCAGAATCGGCCCATTGGGCTTGTACTCGAGCACAGCCTGTACTTTCGTCCATTATGAATGTGTTGGACGCAGCAAACACGCACTTTCTGCATCCTGCGCAGCAAGTGTCACTTAAGCGCAAAGCTTTCTGAAGTATACAGATCATCATCAGAGTTCAGGAGATCCGTAAAGTGGTTTCAGACATTGAGCCGGACTGAGCATAAGTGTAGGATTCACGATCATATGAGCTGATTCGACAAACTGTGCACCTGCTCGAGCAAAATGCTACATTCAAATGGTATTTACTCCCAAATGAAAGTTTATGTTTTGCTCGGTATGGAAAGTTTAAATACAACGAAGCAGCCAGAATGAGTGGACCGACGGCAGATCAGAACATACCCACGCATGCATTTTCGTCAACGAATAAGCCTTGCGGCCTGTCAGGGCCAACCCACGAGCTGTACGTGTTGCCTGTGAAGGCTTTGTGCCCGGCCTTCCGAATCGCTACCCGGTACGAGTGCGCTGTATTATAAGCAGCTCGCAGATTCTCATCCATCAACGTTTGGTACGCCTCATTTAGCAGCAAGGCCATGGCATGTCCCTGTTCCACAACGCGAAAAGCCCTGAATACCTTCCACTATGAAAACCCGTATTCTTGAGAGGATTGCACGAGAACAAGATCCGTCTATAGTCGTCGCATATTAAGACCATAAAAGTCGGTTCATCCACACGAGAGAGAGAGAGAGAGAGAGAGAGAGAGAGAGAGAGAGAGAGAGAGAGAGAGAGAGAGAGAGAGAGAGAGAGAGAGAGAGAGAGAGAGAGAGAGAGAATATGAATGAATGCATGAACGAACAAATTTGGGATTTGAATTGTGAGAAATCACCCCAAAAGATATATATATACAGACCTGTTGACCCACGAGATCGGGATGGTGCTTTTTCTGAAGCATTCTGTAGGCTCGCCGAATCTCTGCAGCATCTGCTTCCACCGAGACACCCAGCAGGTCATAGAAATCAGGCAAGGGCACCGGGCTCTTGTAAGAGGCCGAGCATCGTGCTCCTGCGTTCCGCCTGCCAAAGCTTTCCACGACACAGAATCAGCTCTTACTCGCTCGTCCACGCTTGAGAAACAGAGCATCATCGCCCTTCCGGCGCGGCATATTGAGATTGAGACCCCCGAGACTTGCGACCATTGGGCGTCTTCGCAGTCGAGGCCCTCGGACACGATCAGCGAGTAATTGAGTTCCGGCGGAGAATTGACGGACGGGGGTGCAAGATCTCCATCGAACTCGTCCCAGAACGGCGGAATTCGAGGCGCACGGAGGACAGAGCAAAAGCGGGCAATTGCGAGAGCGCTGCGTGGCGAGCGAACGAGCGCACTCACCTCCGAACGTAAAACTGATAGGCGCCGCCAATTCGCGAGTCTCGTCGCAACCTGCAGGCTGCGAGTCTCGGCCCCGGCAGAGACGAAAGCTCGGTCGGAGAGCGACTCAGAAGCCGAGTCGTCGTCAAATGTGGTGCCATCCTTTCTCTGCCCTTCCGAGTCGATCGACTCGCTCTCGCTCGCACCAGAACAACGAAATTCGTCAGAGCTCAGAATCGGGGAAATCCTCGTCTTGCCCACAGTCCGAGCAGAGCGACTGTCGAATTGTCGAGCGCTCGTCCGAGCTTCGATGGTCTGGCCTGCAGAGCCATCGGAGCCTGGGAATTCATGCATGTAACTGAGATTTTTACCCGTGTCGGTCAGGGAATCTGGCATCCGCACTGTCGAAACCACTGATCGGAGGCAAAAGGTGGCCATATGACGACGACCGTCATCATAATTATCTCGACAGAATGAACGATTCACAATTCTACACCAGCGGAGCTTTGGATAGTCGAACTGGCGGGCCTTCGTGACTCGTCACGTCCATCGTCGCGACGTCGCAACTCTACAACTGAAGAGGTAAGACTTTGCTTGTGAACTAATAATGTGTTCGTTAATCGGGCGACCGGGCCAACTAAATAGCATAAGAATCCAAACATAACCAAAGGTTAATAATATTACTAAATTTTTTATCGAAAAATATGTAGAAGTAGACCTAAATATCAATCATTCATATCAACAATACTTGCAAATAAAATGAATAATAGAAAGATCAGATATAGTGATTTGTGTCTTAGTTATAACACTAGTTGAAAAAATATTGAAAATCAGAATATATATATATTTTCTAAATTGCACGATAGTTCAAAAAATTATTACTACTTACCATTACTATGATAGATCTCCCTCTCTCTCTTTTGGTGACGAAAACTTTCAATGACATACCTCCATGGTATTTTAATGCTGGAGAAAAAAATAATTTGATATCTCTATTTGTACTTTTAGATGAAAATGCCTACAAACATATTCGATTGTGACCATTTTACTAAAATTACATGGTGGGAAATACATGTACTAACTCCTTACCTCTAATGGATTGGAAGTAATTATGTTATCTCTTGCTACTCTTGAATAGTGGATCATCTTATAGGATTTTCATCAAGGAATTTAGTAAGTAGATTTAGACATACAAATGAATATCTAATCTTCTTCAAGTAAGTTCAGCTGAAATAAAGCTTATCTGAGTTATTTTTTAAAAAAAATATATACAAATATATTCGATGCATTGAGTTTTGAAAATAAATTGAAATTTCATTAAATTTTGAATCCTACAAACGCTAAAAATTTCTAACCTATTCTCCTATTAGTTCAAATTGTAGATTCCACTTTATTTATTGAGTAGAAAAATTTAGCATTGTCTATGGCATGAAGATTTATTCTAAGTTTTTATCCAATTTATTCATAACTAGCTAATAATTATCATGTTATTTGAAGAAAATATTCTTCAAAAAAATTGTTATGTTTGCATGGAGGAAAAAATGATTATCAATACAAATTTTCAAACTCAAATTAAAGTTGAGATTTACATATATTGCAATTGATCACGTATAGTTAGAATTTAACTTACATGAAAGTTAGTTTGGACAAAAAAATTTGACTTCTAACAACTTTCTAGAAATTGTGTTTCAACTTCAATCTCAATCTAGCATCATTTTGAAAAATTTGAAATGATTGTAGATTGATGTGAACAAAATGATTTAGTATGCAAGACTTATGTTGAGCTTCAAAACTTACTTTTACTTCAATATGAAATACTTTGCAAAGAAACATTTGTACACATTTAATTCACAATTAATGCAGTTCTCTTTCGCCATGACTTTTGGTCTAACTAAAAGCAAAGTTATAAGATATATTCAAGAAGGTCATATATTCAAAATTCTCTTGAATTTGAATTTTTAAGAAAGCCTAAATCTTATTTGGCAATGGTAGTTAAAAGGTATATGTTTTAGTTGAAAATTATGAAAACACAGACTACATCATTGACAAGAGAGAATCACAGAAGATAAAGTAATTTGCTTGTAGACTATGTCCATAGGATCATTTCATAATTTTATTGAAAGTGTTTACCATGGCAAGAGAGTCACATTCGACAAATCATAACATTAATACTTGTCTGCCGACGTGTGTTATATACTAACAATCTTCCCTTTAACACATGTCAAGGAAATATGAACCTCCATAATCTATACAATTACTCTATGATAAGTACTAGAAAGAAAACTAACAAAGATCAGTGTTTAAACTAGATACAATTAGAATTAAGTTGTAGTCAAAACATGATAGAGTATAAACTATAAAGGCATAACTAAAATTGCAATAAACTCTTGTTGTGCTTCCCATGCAAAACCTACCTGTAGGGGCAAACATCCTCACCCCATACCCCTTCCTCAAATCTCCAAAGCAAATTCTAATCCTGAAAATGCAAGACTGAAAAAACACGGAATCTACAATTACGAAGACAACGTCATCGCAAAAGTTCCTTTTGTCCAAGCCACAACAAAGAAAAAAATATGGCATGTGACATTCGCAACTCATCAACTTGAATGCAGGAAATCACATAGGCTTCATAATCAATTATTCTCATCATTTGCTCAAACTCTCCACTCCCAATCTATCTCCGAGTTTGTCTGTGCGAGAAAGAGGAAAACAAAAACAAATGTTTATAGAATAATAAGAAAAACAACATTTGTGTTCTTGATTCTCCGAATCTTCTTATGTCTTCTGCTTTTGATTGTTTTGTGGTTGAAAGAGTAGCATGATTTTGTTTCTAATGCTTATGTTTTTTGTTTTTGATTGTTTTGAGGTCGGAGAAGTCGGATGTTTCTGATTTTGATGCTTATGTCTTTTATTTTTGATGTTTTGTGGGTGGAAAGATCAGACCTTTATGTCTATTGCTTTTGATTTTTTAAGTATTGGAGAAGTCTAACACTTTTATTTTCTGTTTTGGTTGTTTTGTGGTTGGAGAAGTCGAGTTTGCCCGTATCAGTGATGTTTTTTGCATCAAAGCGTTAGTGTACAGAGGATATGTTTGTGGCCGCGTTGGAGCGCAATCCAAGTCTGAAATCAACCATTTCATACTCGACTTTCAGAGGGATAAAAGTTGGAAGTCCTACATATCTAAGGTATCATTTCAACCACAACTGTTGATATATACCTCTGTAAAACAGAATGGTAAACTTTGAAGTTTTTGTTTTCAATTATTTGTTTTGCATTCTTGATTTGAATACAGCAATGCAAAGAATGCTATGTGTTGCGTTTCATGTTATTTATTCGTGAAGAATACGCAAGCTTCCAGGCAATTTGTAATTGAAGTTCTGGCAAGGTGGAATACAATTACTAAAAAAGATTGAAAACTGGCAAAACATGTCGGTAAACACACTTCGGCTCACTCTTTGCACTTCATTGCTTGGAAGTTATTACCAAACCAGCATTTTTTTATTGACGTCATGCTAGCTTGTTAATATGAATAACAAAAAAGTGATCACAGACTCTGGTTGATATGAACTATTGAGACAGTGCAATTTATGGCACTTCAAGGTTTTGCTTTCCGCGATCATGATGAATCTAGAGATTCATTCAATTGTGAAAATTTTCTTGAACTATTTATTTTTTTCAATCAGTAATCTGCAAATTATCAACTCGCTCGCCTTGATTGTACATCAAAAAATGCGATAATGACAACTTCACACATCCAAAAGTACATGTTGTAGGCCATGACTTTATGTCCAAAAACATATTGTGAAGCAAATCGTTGACAACTTTTTTTATTTGTTGATTGATGAGGCTCGAGACGAATCAACGAAGGAGCAGATTTCTTTGATTCTACGGATTGATGACAGTTGTAGAATATTTCAAGAGAGGTTTTTGGATATGATTCATGTTGCTAATATATGTTCAAAATTGCTGATGGCCGCCATTGTTTTCACATTGAGTCAAAACGATCTTTCGTTATCTCGTGTTTGAGAACAAGAATATGATGGAGCATCTAATATGCATGAAAGCATGTAACCATCTTTAGTTAGTTAACACTAAAGTAGAGATTGCTTTAAATATTGATATAGATACTTTAGCCTGCATTAGTCATAGCTGTCACGTCAACAATTTGCGCACTTGGTAGGTAGAGAATAGGTGTGTTAGTTGACAGCGTCGCGTCAGCGATTTTGTGTGCTTGTTAGATAAGGATGAAATGTGTTAATTAGTATGCTAGTTGGAAGCGTCACGTCAGCCATCGGTGTGCTTGTTAGTGTTATCCGCAACGTCATCTATCCATTAGTATTAAAAAGTATGATGGGGATAAGATCTAATTTCCTTGTACTTGTTGGTGAGAGCTATATAATGGAAAGGATAACCATTGTTGGTATCTGTCATCTTCAGAGTTTATGTTTCTATCTTTGAGTGAACTTCTCTCTAAACCTTAATGTTACAATGGTATTAAAGCAATCTTGCTCTTTTCTTGAGTGTAGATTATCTCTCATGGAATAACAAGTGAGTGATGATGAAATACAGTTTTGAGAGTGTATGGATGTTGACAGAGGTCATTGATCTGCAGGTATAGAGAATGGAAATTGTGGTTTTGCAGATATATATGGGCTTGAAAGTAATCATGTATCGCACTGGCCGATTTCTAATCTATTTGATATTCACCTTCGTTGCACGGAAAAACATCATATTTGTATATACCTTGTGACTTGTTGGGATGCAAATTTTATGATTAGAGTGATGGAGTCAAGAGGTTTCACTGATTCTTTCAATATTTAGTTAAGGAGAGACTTAGAATTATACCATATATATTCTATATTGAATGTTTCATGAATTTGAATTGAGAACCACCCATCCCAATTCGGTTCAACACTTATGTAGAGTTTTGACCATATACTGACAAAAGAGATTGTGAAAAGATTTTTTTGTGAGGAATTATAAAGAATAATACTATGAAATTGTGATAGTATCATTTATATTTTTTGTGTCTCCTATTTTGAGAGTTCAGATGGTGATTATATTTACTTTGTATTTGAATGAGTGTGAGAAAGCATGGGACATCAATCGATCTGAGTCAGGTTCTCAACACAATCATAACGGAGATCAAGGAGTTGAATAAAGCGTTAGTAGATGGACATACCAATCAACAAGCCTTGTAAAATAATATCTTCGCATTGAAGAGTTAGAAAGTAGAGACAGAAGGAGTTGGAGAGATGGAAGTTGAATCTCAAGTTCAAGTTTTCCAAGTTCAGCCAGATTCAACTATTAATGATACATGAGAGTCAAATAGGAGACATCTTAAGGACATTGAAGATCAAGCAAATCTTTTAC